ACATACCAGAATGTCACATGCATCGGTTGTTAAGATAAATGTAAAAAAAACACAAATACGAATTACTGTACAACTTGCAAGAAAGATAAATAAATATATAAATAAATATTTAACAACATCACATACATTGCTCAGATTCCAAGATGAGTAGCTAAAGCCCCCGTATTATGGAGTATCTGAGACAACGAAGGTACCACAACACCCAGACCCGAGTCAATATAGAAAAGTTTATTTTCTACATTGACCCGACCGGGAATCGAACCCGGGACCTCAGAGATGGCGACACCTTGAAACCGGCGTGCGAACCACTCGGCTACGGAGGTCGTCAATGCAAAGAAAGAGTACCTAAAATGCACCATTTGTAAAAAAGTATTTGACTTATACTGTGGAAACGTTTCTGAAAAGATTTATTATTTAATGACAGTAGATGCGAGACAAAAATGGAGATGTGATAAGTGTATACAGAAAAAAACAATTCTATCTCAAAAAAGCTCAACAAGTACACCAATTATACAACAGAAACCAGACAAGATATCTAACGAAGTGGTCAATTTGACGTCACAAACTAACATAACTAAAAGAAAGAAACAAAACAAAAATAAATGCTTAAAACGAAATGATTCAGAGATTGCTTCGGATTCCTCAACAAACCTTGGCTCTAAAACGCTATCTGATCATGACAACTCATTTTTGTCATTGGATTCTCAAACCGCCGCTAGAAGCCTTCCAGATCTTTCCACAAGAGACTATGACGAAAACATATTATTGAAGGAATCGATTTCGAACTTAAACTCACAACTTGAAACAGCTCATTCAGAGATTGAAAATCTACATTTAGAAAATAACAAGATGAAAAAGGAAATATATGAAAAAGACTATAAAATAAAACAGCTACTGACTATATGTTCTAGTACAAAAAAAAATAAGAAAAAATAAACACGACATTTCATTGTCAAAAGTTTCGTCAATATTTTAAGTACTGTCACTATAGTAAACCAGGGGCAACTGTCCTGGAATTACTCCATAACATTGAGGCGAAATTGAAGAACTTCACAAAAGCGGATTGCTGTATTATTCTTTTAGGTGATGCAGATTTTAAAGTTTCACAAAGCAATGTTCCATTAGTAAGCTATATTAGAAATGTATTAGAGAAACTTTAACATACATAAAACATTATTATTGGCGTACCGACATACACATGTGGTAGTGTTTTATACAGGCGCTCGCTCGACGCCGTAGGTATGTACTCGTAGGTACGGGTCACTGACCGCTCATTTTATTAGACTCGAACTAGATTTTATGCTATGATCTGAGGTGATTTCTAAGAGTAATTCCAATTTTCCCTTCATACTTTTATGGTTAAGGCCATCAAAATGCAAAAAAATAAAAGAGAAACAAATTCGTTATCTAGAAAAAAATATTGACGTTATGCCGAAGTTACATAGGTACTTCTGCGTTAAGGGGTATTTAAAAAAATTGGAATCAACTACGTATTTACAATAATGTTGAATCAAAACAAATACCTAACTAATTACTTACCGTGTATTTTAATATTTGTTCAAAATGAAGTCCACGTCTGTCCAGACATAAACGTGCACATTTAATTAAATTGTCATTTAAATTATTTAAAACACTAGTGTCACTTTTCACTTCACCAAAAGCGTTATTATTTTTTATTGTTAAGTCTTCTAGACTTTGTGCCTCCTCTACATCCCGGCGTCTGACTTCTTGCCATAAGAAACAGTCTCTCACGTGTGGTGTGAACAATGCCTCATCCGTCCCCAAGATTTATTTTAAAGCTTTATTTTAAAAAATGTGTCCATATTCTACCGTTTCAATAGGGATAAAAATATTAAAAAAAAATTTTTTAACTAATTATGGAAAAGTGTTCTATCACTGATACTGAATCACCAAAAAAATTTTTGCACTGGAAAAAAAATATTCCTGTATAATTGTCGCGTGGAAAATTTCAATAACTTGCTTTATACAGACATGCAAAAAAATTACTATGGCATATTATACGATAGCAACCGAAATCTTGATTTTGGAATGTTTTCATCATTTACTGGAAAAGTCAATAGTAGAGGATTGAACCTTATGTTACACGAATTAAGTAAATTAACAAAAAATGTGTAATTATTCGAAATCAATCACTCATAAAAATATGTAATTATTCGAAATTTATAAGCGATAAAGGCCTGAATAAGCATAAATATATTGGGATAGAAAGCACCAGTTCTTGTTCTGCTTCCATAACAAATTCTGCTTCAAGTTTAAAGAAAAGGACTATTTTCCAGTAAGCAAAAATAATCAGAACCATAATAAGTTTTTTCTATAATAAGAAAGATACTTACTTATTAATATTACACCAAAATATTGCGGGTGTATTAGGTAAACAAGACATAATACAAATTACCCTAAATTCTTTAAATGATAAGATGTTAAGGATTGACGTTTTGTTTTTTTCTGAAACATTTATTTCATTGGGAAACGAACCAAATTTAAAGATAGGTGGCTTAATCATTGCGGATTGGTATTCGCGATCGAATGAAAGTCGAGGAGGTGTATATATACTTTGTAGGGAAAAATTACAATTTAAAAAGTTACCATTTTTAAAAGAAATAAGTACAGACTTTAGATTTAAATATTGTGGCATAGAGATTCTGAAACATAATTGTGTTATTCTATGCATGTACAGAATACCAACCAGTGATCCCTTTGTTTTTTTAGATAGGCTTGAATTAGTATTAAATAAACTGAAAACAAAAGTAAAAAAGAAAGTAGTAATTACAGGTGATTTTAATATTGATCTGTTAAAAGAATCGCCTGCATTGGAAAAATACAGGCGAATAATTCAGAATTACAAATTTGAAATTCATATTACAAAGCCGACAAGACGAAAGGCGTGTCTTGATCAAATAATAAGTAACGTTAAGGATGCCACTGGAGAAATTTTACCATTAGGTCTATCAGATCACGAAACTGGCCAATTGTTACATCTTCCGACTACACATAAAGAAGTTCCAATAAAATCATATTTCATACGGAAAAGAGACTATAATATAGAAAATATGGAAAAATTTACAGACTGCATAAACAGTTTTTCGTGGTTTGATGTTTATAATGAACAAAATGATAATAGGGCTTTTGATAACTTCCATAAAAATCTTACACTGTATTTCGATTTATGCTTCCCTCTTAAATTAAATAAACTAAATAATAAATCAAAGCAATGTAAATGGATATCGAAAGGGTTAAAAATATCATCGAAAATAAAGCGTAATTTAAGATTTAAATTTTACAAAACAAAATGTCCGTCGCATAAAATTTAATATAATAGGTACAATAAAATTTAAAAAAAATGTATCCTTACTGCTCAAAGGATTTCAAATGTAGGTTTCATCAATGAGGCTAAATATATTTGTTCAGCTTCGTGGAAAATTATAAAAAATTTACACATCAGAATCCAAATTGAATAATAATGAATTTAAAATCATATATAACGACATTGAAACTAATAATCCTGTTTACATTGTTAATTTATTTAATCGCTATTTTAATGACATGACAAATATTGAGACAAAAAATAAAACATATAGACATGACATAAAACAAAACGACAAAAACATTTTTTTACTTCCAACAGATAACGATGAAATACGGCGGATAATTAGGTCTCTTAAAGATACTTCTTCTACTGGTTATGACAACATCTCTACACAAGTCATTAAGTATTGCTCTCGTGTTTTGGCACCATTATTAAGATATATTGTAAATCTTTCTCTTTCTCAAGGTATCTTTCCTGAAAATCTTAAAAGAACTGTCATAAAACCTTTATATAAAAAAGGGGATAAAAATAATCCAATAAATTATAGGCCAATAGCTTTAATTCTCATCTTGTCAAAAATATTTGAAAAAATCATGCACAGTAGAATTAGAAATTTCATAGAAAAACATAATATTTTATGCACTGAAAAGAATGGTTTCCAAAAAGGGAAATCCACTACACTAACAGCATTTAAACTGGTGAATAATGTATTAGAAAATCTAAATCGAAAAGACAATACCACAGCTATATTCTTTGACATGACAAGAGCGTTTGATTTTGTGTCCCATAGTATTCTACTTAATAAGTGTGAAAAATATGGCTTCCGTGGAACAGTTCTTAAGTGGCTTTCAAGTTATTTATGCAACCGCACTCAGTATGTGGAAATACCTGCACTTGACTTCAATATGCAGCAAGTCTTTTATAGATCAGACGTATCAAAGCCTAAAGAAGTGGGTGTTCCACAAGGCAGTATTTTGGGTCCCTTACTGTTCATTCTTTACATCAATGACCTTCCTTTATGCTGTAAATATAAATGTTACTTATTCGCGGATGATTTGTCAATCATTATTTCAAGAAGAAATGATTTAGATTACAACAGTAAAATAAATGCATGCATCTCTAATATAATGAATTGACTGGAAGCAAATAAATTAAGATTTAACATAAGTAAAACAAAATATATTCAATTTTTTAATAAAAATGCAAAAAAAAATAATTTAGATTTGACATACAATAATTTACAATTGACTGAATCAGATGAGGTTACTTTCTTGGGCGTAAAAATCGATAAAAACTTCCTGGAAATACCATATTGAACACGTTTGTGGAAAAATAAATCGCTTTAGATACGCACTTTGGAGACTGACAAAATTAACAAACTTACAAACTTCTTTGAAAGCTTATCACGGCTATGTAGCGTCTAACTTAAGATACGGAGTTTTGCTATGGGGCAATTCAGTAGGAATAAACAGAGCACTTATAGCGCAGAAACAGTGCATTCGAGCAATGAAGGATGTTTCACCCAGAACTAGTTGCAGGCCTTTATTTAAAGAATTAAATCTATTGACTCTTCCTTGTATATATATTTTTGAAGCTTGTAAATTTGCTAAATTACATCCTGAATTGTTCCATAAGAAAAATTAGTTTTGTATGTTTTAAACTAATAAATAAGCAGAAAGGAAATATATAGCAGGAATGGCTATGCTATGGTAGTTAGAATTTATAATCTACCCAAAGAAATTGCCGAACTGCCTTTAAGACAGTTTAAACTTAAATTGTTTCAGTGGTTAGTCGATAAATGTTTTTATTCGGTCTCTGATTATCTTAAAAAAAATTAAATAATACTTTTATTTTATATTCAATTTTAATTTTAATGAATTGCTTGACATTCGGTCAGTTGCACAAACGTCCATTAAGGTTTAATGACACCTTTAAGCTCTAATGAATGTCAAATTTGTATGGGTAATGTCCCTTTAAATTGATGAATATCTAAATGGACATTTGTGCAACTAGCTGATTTTTATTAAATATGAGTAATGTATTGTATTTTTAATAATTGACTGCTTATCTATTTTGTATTAATTGTCTTTAATTTTAATGAATTCGCATGATTTTTTATTTTATTTTTAAATAATTATATAAATTTAACTATATTTTGTATGCCAGAAATGGTAAATGTGCTGTACTTACCTTATACTTACATCTTATAATAACCGCATTTGTACGAAATTCGAAATAAATAAATAACCTTCTCCATCTAGCAGATGATGTATATAACTTTGGAGAACTAGATTCCTTTTCAGCATTTGCTTTTGGAAACTTCATGTCTAAAATAAAGAGGTTACTTCGTTCGCATAATATGCCACTAGAGCAAATTGCTAAACGGCTGGGTGAAAAAGCAGCTGACGAGAAATTTGATAATAATGTGAATATAAGTAAGAAAAATAATAAGGCTATTCGTGATGGACGGATAAAAATAATTTTTGTATTTAATCGTGCTGTAAGTACTTGTTTAAGAGATTCTTGTTTTGTTACTTTCAGTGCAGATATTATTGTGGTTAAATCTATTGAAATAAAAGCAAAATCTGATTTTTATACTTTGCACTGTAGTAGTTTTTTAAACAAAACTGATTTTTACAAAGAACCCATTGAAAGTAGCAAATTGGGAATATACATGGTCAGTGGTAAAAAAAATGTTATTGTCAATTCAAACGATTTAAGCAAGAAATGTTTATTGCTGCCTAATTTTGATAATAATGACCATTCATTTATCTGTGTAACTTATGTGAGTATGAATTTGCACTATTAAGCTTGACTTTCACAATGAGAAATGCTAGTTTTTATTTTAAGAGCGTGGGGAGTGAGTCAATTCCATACAATTTGCGATGCTCTTACACAGCTACAATATGTTTTTAAAACCTACTGATTGTAATTTTTTCAAAATTTTTAACATTGTTGTTTTTTTTTGTTTCACGCCAATTCATGGTTTTTCAGCCATATAAAAGTAATAAAATATGGTTAAATTAACAATTGTACCAAGACTACGAGGCGTGCTGCAGTGTTCCTCATAAAGGGCAAGGACACTGGGCCAAACTGAAGATGTACTCGTTATAGCGCCAACATTGTTTTACAAAGTAAGACCTACAGACACTTATATTATTGTGGGATTTACAAACTGACTGAATAGTAAATTAAGGACGACGGCAGCGTAGGATGCAAAAAAAATGATTTTCTCCAAAGATATTTATTAAAGATAAGAAAAATTACAATTAATTTTATTATAATTAAAAACTATATTGACAATGTTCGATGTAAGAATCAAAGTGAATAAAAAGTCTTGCGTTAGCCGCAGGTTGCGATCCGATGCCACACATGTTGTCGAGTCAGCGCCTCGTGACGGCGCTGTCGCAATTTATTACTTATTTTAGGTAATCTAGGTAGATACCTCGATTATGGCGTTTCCGTTATAACGCGAGTGCATAACAAGTAGGTATGTCATCGGGTTCATGAGTATTTATACGAGGGTCAAACTGAAAGTTCTTAGAACTGGCCACTTATAAACAATATAATAAAAAAATAATTCTAAAATTTGAAAATATAACTCTTTGCCAATATTACTGAGTATATATTTCATTCATTTGTCATTTGTTTTACGATTTGGCGGCAAATTGAAAATTGTCTGTGTCACGTCATCATGAATTTAACACGAGAAAATTTTCGTGCAATGATTTTTTATGACTTTCGATGTCATTTAAGTCAACAAGAAAGTTATGATAGACTACGATTGGCCTTTCACGATGAAGCCCCATCTCGTGCGACTGTTTACAACTGGTTTAATGAGTTTAAACGTGGTCGCACTAATCTCACTGATGATTTACGTGAGGGACGGCCTTCTACGGCGACGACTGAAGATAACATCTGTGTTGTGCGGCGTATGATAGAGACTGACAAAAGAGTGACCTATCAACAGATTCCGTATAGCCCCGACCTCGCGCCTTGTGATTTTTATTTATTTCCAAAAATTAAAGAAAAACTTAAAGGAAAGCGGTTTATGAATGCTGAAGAAGCGGTGGCTGCGTATCGCGATACCATTGAAGAGACCCCTAAGGACGAGTGGGCAAAGTGCTTTTCCCAGTGGTTCCATGGCATGCAGCGGTGTATTGACGTGAATGGACAATATTTTGAAAAGATATAATAAAACTAATAACTGGCTAATGTAATCAGTTTTTGATTTTCTAAGAACTTTCAGTTTGACCCTCGTAAACATTGGTCAAAACATATAAATGTAAGTCTCCAAATATAGTGTTGTGATAAATACGTTTTTTAATTATATGTTTTATTACAATATTTTGGTTGGCCATTTGATACTTTTTAATAGTGCTAATATTTATATGTTTTCATGAATTCGATGATATACTGTAAAGTCAGTTTGTAAGCCCTACAATGATGGTGTATGTAGGCCTTACTTTCCAAAATATGTTGGCCCTCTTATGAGTAAATCTTAGTTAGCCCTATATGAGGAGCACTGCAGTTGGCCTTATATAGTAAAAGATAACTTAGGCCTACAATAAAATACCACGGTTGCCCTACTATGAACGGTCAGCCCAACGTTATAGAATGTTTGTTGGCCCTATGTGAGAAAATTGTGGTAAAATTCGCAGTTGACATTACGTTGTAAAAGGTGACTAGGACCAACGAAGGAAAAACTTCAGTTGGCCCTTTGTCCAATTGTAACGGTGGGCCACGGTACTTTAGCTTTGTGGGCAGCAGTGCAATCAGGGGTGCTATTACCCACCGTTGACCAATCGAACAGCAAACAAAGGCCCAACGAATTGCCGTACCAAAAATGCTACTAGGGTTCCTAGTTGTGCCCTCGAGGTTTCTCGATTTGGCACACTCCTCAACTATACCATCCAGCAGTTCCATGGCCCTGCTGTGTACGTCCATGATCGAGGATCCTACCGGCATATGAGGTCTTCTTTCTGACAAAGGGAGTTATTCGTCATCGCTCAGATTGGCATCGCTGCTATCATAGTCAGCTTTAGAATCCTTGCAATTCCTCCTCCTGGCCGCAGAAATCCCGACATGATGTTCAGACAGGGTCTTTTTCGTGCGCTGAGGGGAGGGAGAGGGTCGTCGAAAGAAGGAGCCAGTCCTCTCCACGTCCGAGCTGTGCAGTGAGTCGCAATTGTCTGAAATAGGTACCGGATATGCGGAGGGCGCTTCCACTGCCAGCCTTTTGTGAGTGTGATCCGTAAGGTTAGTGTTGTTACCACCACTTCCCTCACTCGATTCCGAGCTGGAACGCGTCCTCTTACCTAATGACAGGTTCGAGCTTCTAAGCGTCGAAGTAAGGTCAATAGGCGTTAGCACCACCTGTGCCTCTGCATTCAGAGATGTTACCGAAGCACCTTTGTTGGGCAATGCAGCAGAATTCCCCAGTAAGCCCAGGTTGGGGTTTTTGGAGTGAACTGGGCCCTTGTTACCGTCAAGCGAGCGGACTGAGCCACTCAGCGATTTGTCCAGGGAGGAAATGGGAGTGTTCCCGTCACAAGTTCGCTCCGTCAGATCCATCATCGACAGTGAGGGGGAAATGCCAGCCTCCCTACTGTCTGATATTGTCAACTCCGATTTGGTTGGTGCGGTCGCCGACTTCGGTAACGGCGATGATTCCGCAGTTGACAACGCCCTTGCACGCGAGCGCGTGGTAACTCCCGCAGCAGCTTCAATTGGAGAACGAGAGCGAGAGCGAGAGCGATGCTCCCTTATTCCCGATACACTATCCACAGTAGCAGAAGAACCACGTCTGCTCTTGTCCGTCACATCCACCGTCGGTCTCTCCGTCTCTACGGAGGGGTCTCTAGAGTGAGAAGGGTCTCTAGAGTGCGAGTCCTCACTTCTCATATCCTCCGAAACACCCCCGGAAACCTTGCCGACTTTAGGCAGGGGGTTTCTTCCTCTGCCACTACCACCACGACCAATATTGCGCTGACCCTTAGGAGGATCTTTAGCAAAACCCAGCTTGCTCAATAAGGAGCTCACCGGGCTTTGGCCCTGAGAAGGGCCTTTGTCATCACCCTGCGCACTTCCGCCCGTGCCAGGCCCATCTCCTCTGTTCGAAGAATCATCCTCTGCAACACCACGCTCACTTCCGGCCGAGCTCAGCCCACCAACCAGAACGTATAAATATTTTAAATAATTCAATCCCACTATAGTCCCACGAGTAAAACGGAGGTACAGACCACCCGGACAGAGCCGAATATCCGGGCTAGGCTAGGGTTCAGTTGTTTGGGGTGCGAAGTCTGGCAATCTCCTCGTGGTGCACCCTGGGCAACGTGGCCGCTCGAAGTATCTTTGAGCCGCCGCGGCTAATGTCAGACGACGTGAGGGCGACGGAGTTTACTCCGTCCACGGCGAGGGAATACTCGCGAGTGTGGGCTGGACGGGCGCTCTGCGTATCGTGGAAAGCGGCCGTGCCAGCGAGTCGTCGTGAGGTCGAACGCGCATAGGGGGGTGGTAAGACCCTTCTGGGTCGCGTTTGGGGGTTTCCCTCTTTGAGGGAGTCTCGTGAGGATGGGTTCCGCGTCGGCGTCCTGACCTTATGTCGGGTAGCGGCGGCGCGGTCCGGGCTGGACGGGCGCCCTTCGTATCGTGGGAAGCGGCCGTGCCAGCGAGGCAACTCGTAACTCCACACATGGTGTGGAGTCGAGGGCTGCTGTTCGCTAGAATAGGAGCCGAGAGGAAGACAACCTCTGTAAAAAATCACCCATGAGGGAATTGGGTGGTCTCCCAGAGGAGGGTTCGCCTGAAGAAGGCGGACAATCGGCCCGGCTAGCTGTGGGTGTTAATCGGTACCATGGCGACGCCGATTGTCGGGGATGCAGGAGCGTCGTGGGTGGTTTTAGTCGGTAGGCCATTATGGAGAGTCCGACATAACCCATCGGTTCCCCCATAGCCGGTGGGTATGCGTAACGCATTTCCCCCACGTTAAAAAAAAAAAGGGTTCAGTTGTTTCAGCGTAATCGACGGACAAACATCCAAACAAACAAACTTTCACATTTATAATATTTATTAGTGTGATAAATAATGATCTCATATTTAAAACAAAAATTTATACCGGGTGTTACAAAAATACCCGTTATAGCTGAAGGGTGTTGAAGTATATCATATAAACAGTACTCTGCCAAATTTTCAAAACCTTTGCATTAACTTTTAACTTTCAGTAAAAAGGCTAATTTTTAATAATTAATAAATACATCGAGTGTGCTATGTCACATCACTATTTTAGATTAATGACCTTACCAGGAGTAATGGCACACTACCTATCTCCTATGTTTTCTAATTTTTTTCTTCTATTCTCCTAGTACACACCCACACATACACACTAAGAATGAGAGAGAAAATATACTTAAAAACATGTCTGCGTTTGCCAGTTTACACAGTAAATACTTAACCTATTTCGATCGAAAATAAAATGAAAAGAAATTAAATAGGAATCAAATCATTGGCAAAATGGTATGGTAACCGACGCTGTTCAGCCGGTAGTCTAATTTCAGTAAAAAAAATTATAATACATATTATTATCAACGCGCACATCATTTCATAGCATCGTTTCCGACTCAGCTGTTTCTGAATTACAGATCAAACACCATTTTAAGTAGTACCTATTTATGATAGATAGGCAAAATTTATTTAAACACTGATATACGAGTCTAACTTTTAGTTCATACTTTAATGGTCCGACAAATCTGATTGATATTACGATAATAAAAAAAATGATATGCGACATAATTCACAAACGATTTTGGCGTATTTAAAAATAAATATTTGCGAATTACTATTTGTACTTTACCTTTTCACTTCCTTATTCACTGTTTAAGCATTACTTGTGAGGTTCACTCACCTACACTTTATTAGGCACTTAATTTTATTCCACAAGAAAAAACTAAAGATCGCGGCCAACCTCTGGTTCACTGACGTTTCAGTATAATTACATCTTTTCAAAATAGTCTCAATTTATATCAATACAACACTGATAAAAGCACTTTTCATAGAACTCGGAATTAGAGAACACGGACATTTTCGAAACGTGATCACATCGACGACGTATGAACAACTGAATAAAGAAAAAGTGATAAAAAGAGAAAGCCGCCAATTTGAGTCCTTTATTATAAGCCGCTGCATAGTGTGCGGCATGTCAAAGGCGCACAGAAAGGTACCTATAGTTCCGCAATTAAATCTGAGAAGTAGCGGGATAGGGTTGTCATCTTCTCTTATTAGATCGGAAATTTTGTCCTTAAAGCCGGACTAAGTCAAATCTCTCGCGAAGCCGTAAAACAATATTACCGTAGTAGACAGTAATATTAGTTCACGGCTTCGCGAGGGTTACTGCCTAGTTATTCAGAGGGTGCGTTAAGCAAAAATCACTAACTTTCAATTGATTTTGTAGTAAGACGTAACATACAAATAAGCGGTAATTAAAGATAAGATAACTACATCATAATTTTAACGCTTTTATCACAGCCAAAACGTGAATTCATAAAATAAGGCTTGATCGTAACATCAAAACTGCACAACCTATTTTGAAAAAGGTTTTTTTATAAAGTAATTTCGGAGACTATACGATGCAAACAAACTAACGATTTGTATTCAAATTTCGCAAATGCCCGTGCAACACTGCGTCTTTTTGGGTATTTGGGTATTTGACGTTTTTCAAATTTGTGTGTATTCATAGTTTATTTGATATAGCTTCGGCACAGGTATACCAAAAACCTATGAAAACTATACCGCCGGACATGTGACATTAACATTTAGCTGCACACAATCTAAAAAGTCAAACATGTCCCGCTAAAGACGGATAGATGACAACCCTAGACAGGCGGCAATGTTAAAGTTTGAGCCTAAACTTCTAGTTGCCTAGTACCGAGGTGATCAACATTTTATTGTACAAATTAAAAAAATCGTCGCAGGACATTGTTGCAACTAATTTTTTTACATACGTACGTAAGTACATAATACGTTACGTATTATGAACGTTACGTATTAGGAATTGTTAATTGACAAAGATTTTGTAAATTTTTATTGTTGTTGATAAGATAGTACATGGTTGTATTTTTAGTATTTACAAATTTAAACGTTGTTAATGTTTGGTAAAGACTAGTTTAAGTGAGAAATGTGATATACTTTCACGCTGCACCTGCAAACGAGTATGCTTGGCTCAGTCTGTAGAGAGGAAGTAGCATCGACTATCATAAGACATCGTTAAATAAATAAATTAATGTATTTCGTGGGCCGTAGTAATCTGCATACAATTGACATACCTGTTTAAAATTTTAATTCATTTTATACACCTTTTCTATTTTGAACTATTTTTCAAATAAATGACCATTTGTTTGTTAGCTGTGTCGGTCGTTTTAGGGCTTTTTCTATTTAAGGAAATAGGTAAACAGTACATAATAAAACGTCTCATTCATTTTCATTTCTTACAGCATTAAAATAGTGAATCCTATACTCTGATTCTAAAATTCAGTTGAATAGCCCACAGTAATAAAATAGATAATAAATTAAAATCCGTACCAAATGTTTACTACTACCGTATCTAGCGTCAAGTAGTCACTCGCGCGCGACATCACACAAACACGAACGATAATGTTTCGTTTCTTTCTCTCTCTCTCTTTCCCTCCCTCTCTATCTCTATCTTACGTCATTGTACACTCGGGGGAATAAGTGAATTTGTTTTAGGCTCGATTTTACCGATTATGTATTTGATTTGTCTTACGTATTTAAATACCTAAACAATAAAAAATATTTTTAAGAGTTAAGCTAATGAAGTTATTTCTTAGCACCGGATACAACCCTTCCTGCGCGAGTCCAACTCTCACGTGGCCGGTTTTTTTTATAATTATTTGTTAGCAGCTTGATAAAACTAGGACTTTTGACTAGTGAAATATAAAAAAACTTCAGTTATTGAGAATATTCAGTTGAGATTTTGTACTTTTCTCAATTCAGAAAGCGGCTCTTTGTCGACGTTTTTTCTTTTCAGACGCTTTTAAGATACCTAAGTGTAGTGCATATCATTAACTCTAAGGTAGCAATCCATTTTACTTGAAACAATTTACATGTAGTAAGAGTAAGTGGTTGAAACCATAATCGGGAATGATCATATTCCCGATTAAGGTTCATATTCCATTTTAAGTCTGATCTTTTTATTGTAAAAATATTAGAAAAGAAATAAATTGACCATAAACACAATTGAAATATGTACACGAATATTGATTAATGTTTCAATTTATTCCCCGATTGTATCTGCGCTGACGTCATATTAGGTTTACTTTCGTAACAGAAGATTGTAGGTACGAGTACCAGGTTATCATGATTTAAAGACACGATGTGTAAAAATTCTGGTTCAAAGATGAAGCAGCTACAGATAGACAAAGTTACCTGGAAGACACTCAGTGATATACGTCGCCTACTTTCATAATATTGTAATTATTTTCATAAAAATGAAACTACCTAATTATGAAAAAAAATTGTTCGTGCAATAACGAATATTCTACTTATCTAGAGGTCGCGATATTTCTTCTTCCTCTGCTTCTCTATTTGTTTAGATTAGATGAAATTGATTTTATGAGTACATTATTGAGTGACGTGTCGTAGCATTAATTATAAAGATTATTATTTTGGATGGGCCGTCTACAGTTCGTAAAGAGATATTGTACGAGCATTTCAGGCGAAAGTATTTAATCCAGTGCAGTGACTATAGCGTACTGTTTATTGTTTGTTTCCGTGCCTGATATGTGCGTAGCACGGGCATAGTAATATGGCAAGGTATATTGGAAAGGGAGCTCTAATCTGAATAAAAACGAATTTTGGAAATAGTTTTAAAATAATGTTTTCGTGTAATA